GTTTCCTAACCAAGCGCGCCTTCTCTCTCTCTCTCTCTCTCTCTCTCCTTTTTCCTCCGTCTCTTTCCTCCTCTTTTGGGCAGGGAGGGAGGGGAGGGATATGTATGTGTGTATATATATATATATATATTTTTTTTCTCTTCTTGTTCGATCGACACCGCTCTATCCTTGACCGTGCACCAATCGACCACGATGAAAACGCGCTCGTCCAACAATTGTCATCGATGACATAACACCGTGAACAAACTTATCAACCGGTTACATGTCGTTACGCGCGGAGTCACTGTCTGGGAGCTACTGTCGGTACCTCCTCGTTGCCTTCCACTTCGTCGCCGCCGCCCCCGCTCCTCGGAATCGCGACTCAGGATCGGATCTATCCGTGACGCCCCTCGTCTTATTCCCTTCCTTTCGTTTTTTTTTTTCCTTCGTTTTCCTTCCTTCCTTCCTTCCTTCCTTCCTTCCTTCCTTCCCTCGAAAAAAACGATGCTTATCGCCCGACGCTCGGCCCCCTCTTCTTTTTTGCTTTTTTTTTTTTCCTTCCCCTTCTCTATCCGCTTGTTAACGGCGTTCTGGGGAATAGAATCGAGATCAATCCGATTTTTAATAGGATTAATGTTGTTAAAAAAAGAAAGGAAAAGAAAAGAAAAACGGGGAGGAGGATTTTATCAAGATTTCGTTCGGGAAACAATTTTCGGGAAAATTTCACGCGCATCTAGTGTCGCAATACGTGTTATGACTATGTAACACGTCGGTTATTTCTGACCACAGGTTTTCAGTTTTGTTCCAATGAGGATGAGAATCGTAATAATTCGAATTTTTTTTTTTCTCCTTTTCTTTTTTTTTTTTTTTTTGAATAAAATGTTTGCAAGAGAAATATCGTGGAAGTATCGATAAAAGTGATATTATGATGTCATATCGTGCGCATAACTGAATCAAAATTGATCAATTGTCGATAATTAAACAACGTTTATAAATTCTTTCGTTTTTTGTTTGTTGTATTCCTTTTTAATAATCGTTATAATTGCATGTCTCTTTGTTATTCGTAAGGATAATCAAGTTTCGATTCCACGAGTAAAATTCATTCAACATTCCAATTAATTTAAATAATCTTAACGTCGGGATAGATATTGTAATTTTGTGCTTTGCAACTGTGTGTGAGTGTGGATAACCGCGTCGGAAGTTATTTATAAAGTAAAGTGTGTTTCTACATTTTCAACGCGAGATTCGCTCTTCGAAAATTCTTTGTGCCAAAATTAATATGACGACAAAATATTTTTATACCAAGCTAATTAAAAAACTACGTAAATATCGATTAATATCATATATATATATATATATTGAAAAACGTTAAAAAACGCGACTTTTATTCGACCTAATAGAGAAACTGTGAATTCACGCTGTGTAATTTCACGATAAATTTTCCCCAAGCCAATGATAATCTTGCCTCGCACGACTTCTATTTTCAATCACTGAATTACCTTAAGAAAAAAAAAAAAAATAATCGTAACGAGCAAAAAAAAAAAACGATTAAACTTCATTTCATAATAAAGCATATAATTTTGAAATCGACGTAATTATAGAATAGCATCATAAAAGTCTTGTTCAAATTCATAAAAGAAAAATATATAAATTACAAACACTACTGCTCTATCTATCAGAGAAAAATTTTCACTCTAAAACTTTTCCATCGTGTTAATATCATCGATTAATAGATTATCAAAAGAGAGAGGATCCTGATATAAAATTCGAATATCGCGGGGTAACGGAACTCGGTGTGCCGGCACTGCCGCGTTCTTACCCCTTACCCCGAGATAGCCAGCTCGCGACCGGAGCACCGACCATGGAAAGAGACCGAAGGTACAACGAACGAGGACGGAGCGCAAAGGAAGAGAATGGGATAACCTGTGTGTATATACGGGTATACAGAGTGTACCGAAGGTAACTTCGATTACAATAGTATCAACGATTTTACCGGCGTTAAAGCGGAGTTAAAAAGAAGAAAAAAAAAAAAAAAACTAACTCGTCGATTAACCTTATGCACCGTTATCAACAATCCTCCTCTTCCTTTCGTCCATTCAAATCGTCCATTTCCGATAACGAGATATTCCTAAACATTTCGAAGCAAATTAGCACAAGGTCGTGATCAACTGCGTTAAACGGGCATCTTTCTTTTTTTCTTCTTCTTCATTTTCTCTCTCTCTCTCTCGCGATTCAATATTGGAATATTACGTTTATATCGACGTTTATTCTGCTCGTCTTTCAATTCGAAACACGGACTCGTTTTTCCGTACAGAATTGTTGCATGAAGAAGAAAAAGAAAAGAAAAGGAAGGAAAAAAAGAAAAAAAAGAACGTTGGTATTTTCAGAACGAGAGATTTACCCGTGTCCCCGACGAGGAACTAGTTTTCGATAAACGAGCACCTCCTCGTTAAGTGGCTCCACGAAGGGGGCCGAAATCGTACTCACCCTATATCCCCGAGCGTTGGCGGGATAGAGAGGGCCGGGAGGTGAAGGTGGGAGAGAGAGGGGCGTGCACGAAGAGGGAGCGGTGGGACAGAGAGAGCGAAATATTTTTATTAAAAGGAGGGAGGCGACTTAATGGAGGGAGAGAGACGGATTCGCGGCGCAGTACACCGTGTCGGATGCTGATGCTGCATTAAGCCCCGTTTGCACTTCCGCCCTTCCATTCGCGAGCTTCGATCCTTTTCATATGCTCCCTTCGCGTCGTTGCGTTCCCAGGAATTGTGTTTTCGATCATTTTAATTTCATAGTATAATATTCCCGCCAATTCTACCGAGAGTAATCCCGGCCGCGGTGTGTACCACTCGTTGTCGCGTTTATTTTTTCTTTTTTTTTTTCTCTCTCTTTTTTTTTAGCAAGCATTTTCGGTTCAACGATTTTGAATGAAACCGTGGAGGAGATTTGAAACGCTTTGAAGGGAATAATAGCATCAGCCGGATCCGATGAACGTCAATTACGGCGAGTAAAGGAAAAAGAATGAAATTCGCCCGTCTGGTATGATTAAATTGGAACGAAATGCAATTCTAAAATGTTGTTGTTTTATTAACGAGAATGTTTCTTTTGCGGGGAAATTATTATAATATATATATATATATATATATATATATACGTTAAAACGAAAATGAACGCGACGTTAAAACTAGAACGCAATAAAAATAATTATATCGTGCTAGATACGTGATAATCACGTGGCTAAAAATAAAATTCTACGTGTACACAAAGTACAGAGTAGATTATTTAATTTGTATCACAAATATTAGATGCATGATAATTTGTATCAAATTTTTAGTACAGATACTTACTTCACGATACATCTTATACATTTCGTGTACTTCTATATTTCAAAGAATATACGAAACGAGATACACAATGAGAAGTCTCATTGTGTTGAAGAACCATCGACAAACAATGTTACGAAGAGGGGAACTGCATGTCTAAGGACATAATCATAAAAGAAAATCCTTCCAAATGGAAGTACTATATTGACTCGGTGGCAGTGTTGCATACCAATAAATGATATCGACCTCTCTATTTCGTCAATTCCGCAGTTTCGTCATGTAGATATCGTCGATCTTATCGACTCTCAACATGATATATCGTCGAAGCAGAAAGCGATACATACATTGTTAACTATAGGGCTGTTTTTATCGAGTAAAACTAGTCTTCCTCGTGTTTGTTCGCGACTTAAGGCAAACACGAGGTATACCAACAAGGTCACGTGATGGACTTCGTTCAGGACGAGACGAGGGAGCATACATAGAAGGGAGACGTCACTGACCGTGAACGCACGCGAGACTCGCGACAATTTTGTCCACGACATAGCAGGAACTCCGTGCATCGGCAGATAAAGCGGAAGAATGCGGCCTCGATGAACTTTGATTCGGGGAAAATGCGCTTACTGCCATTTTCTAATCGGCTCTTTCTAATGGACGGTTAAAACGAAGCCTGGTTAAAATGTATTCACGATCTATAATCTACGATTAAATACTTTACGATAAAATATCTGTGGGAAAAAATATTTTCAAACTATTTTCGTGAATAAATTGTACATATAGATAAATTTTTTGTCCCCAAAAGAAAAAGAAATCAATGAAATCTATCTTCGGCTGAATATAATTTACCATTGGTAACAACTGTATCACATGAATGGCTTCCGTCAGGTAATCCGAGGGAGTGTTCAATGTTTGCATTTGACGAAACATCGAGGAAATGTATTTGAATTGATCTGATATTGGGATACATTGACTTGAGATGATTAAATGATTATTTGCTTTTTATTTTTTGTTTTTTTTATACTTATATTATTTAATTAAATATAAACGAATAAAATTTAATTTATCTTAATCAACGTATTCATAATAAATAGCATTGCAATTAATTTATAAATAATTATAGTTATTATACGGTTCATAATATTGAATCCACAACAAATAACGTAAGTTTCATTATCTTTTTTTTGAATAAAAATATAATATCTATATCATAATAATTTATTGAAATATATAGAAAAAAATTGTATTTAAAATTTTTTTGGAATAAAATTAATATTTCATATAGAAATCTGTGTTATCGGCTGAATGATGTTTGAGATTCACATCATTTCTTACCAGAGAGCACAATGGTTCCTTATCGTTCGTTACTATTTTAAACGAAATCACAAAACGTAACTTTTCCATCAATTAAAAATAACATTGCAGTTAAGAATTAAAAAGTTCTCGATTAACGTTAAAAAATTTAACTTGTAACATTTAGATATTTATGAATTTATCGAATGATAGATACAATAATGATGATTATTAATATTCGGATTAAATTTATCGATGTTATTCATTTAGATCTACGATCTAAATGATCTGCATTTATGGAACGATCCTTGTATTATTTTAATAATAATAAAAATATAAATATAAATATGAATCGTTTATCTCGATATAACGAATGCTATTATTACAATCGTACAAACATTTTTCCCCTTTTTACTTGTTATTGTCATTTTTCAATTCGTTGAAAAATTTATTCAAAAATGTTTACATTATGGAAAATCGTATTAAGCATAAAATAAGCAATATCTATAAACTTGAAACGGTATTTTTAGTACACGATGTTGAATAAAAACATGAAAAAAATTCTCACGTATATATATCTTGCCTGATACTTCCTGATCGCTACAGGTGGTCTGGTAAAACCTTCTTTTAGGTTTGGTACGCCTACACGTTTCAAGACGTCATTGGATTTTCTCTAGTCCGACTCATTTCATTCTTTCGTCCGATCCCATTGATGCTAACAACATAAACCGGTGAACTGTTCGCTGGTACAACTCGTTACGTCAATTGCTAAATTTGAATTTCACTCGGCTTCGCAGAAGTTTAACCTCTCTGCACGTCAATCGAATCACTGAACCTAACTAATCGATCGAAACGCCGTACAATTGGCGGGAATTTACATATGCACGCGGGAAAATTTGACTTTCAATTCTACGATTATCGCGAAATTCAATATTTACACAAGTTTTAAAAAATTATTCAATCGCATAAAAATATGAATATATATTGAATTATGAGTAGAATTACGATACGGTCGATAAAAATCACGAATGATGGATTCATAAGTCTTCTTTTTTTAATATGAAAAATTTATATATACGTATATCGATTGACCGACAGTTTTCATTCTGTTGTATGTCTACTTTCATACAAAACGATATTTTCGCTACTTACGATACTTTTCTTCAACAAAGATCTGTTTCATCGTGTATTCAATCGCGTGTATTCAATTTTTTTCTGAATACTCACATTGACGTCAGACATTGTTTTGTACTGGAAATATTATGTATATATAAACGATTTTAGTTAGGAATTTAACTGTATTATGCATTCATCATCTATAACGATTGAACAATAAGTATCAAGAAACGTTTCACGTTGATATGCCGTACAAGATTACATCAGTTTTTCTTTTCTCTTAAAAAAAAAATCTCTTCATTTGGCACAGATACTCGTATAGAATCTATTACTTATAGATATTTGTCAAACTAAAAATTGTTCCAAATATTTAAAAATAAAAGTACGAGAACGCTTACTCATCGTTTTATCTATTATTACTTTCTAGTACAGAATAATGTATCTGCCGCATCATATATTACGTAATTTTTTTTATCAATTCCACTCAGAAAAAAATTAATTTTTCCGAGAAATTATCTTATCTTGGGAAACTTATTTCCTCTATTTATTATTTCTATTAATTTAATAGAAATTTGGACATTGCGAAGGAAAAAAGAATTTCGAACGAAAATTAATTTTTCTTTCTTTTTTTACAACAAGGATAATATTACTTTTTTTTTTTTTCGACGAGAATTAATAAAAACGAAGATAAACGTGTGTTTAAATGCCTCAACAATAAATCACAATGTACAATACCGACGCAATATCGGGATTGATAAAAAAAAATTTTTTTCTTATAAAAAGTAACTTTGTCATTGATTTACAATAATAATTTCTTTCTGTGTGTAAATAACGATTCATATTAATGAATGAAACGTTCTTTTAACGAAGGATAAAAGAAAATTGATAAAATAAACTTGCGAATTCTTCAACTTCTAGTCAGCTCTCAACCCGATAAACCGATCCTGGTTTCTCTCTAAATTTATCGCTGGTGATTAATCTCATCGTAACTGTGGATACTGTGAAAACTTCAAAAAATTGTTGAACCGTGATCACATTACCCGTGTAATACAATTTTAACGTAACAAAAAATTCTAATCAACTTTTACGAATTCCACATATCGAACGACACCACGCATCTAAACGAAAAAAAAAAAAAAAAACAAAAGATCCATCCACCCAGACGAATTTTTTACACTTCTTACTTTTATCCAAATTTATAGAATGAAATGTTGTTCTTAAAATACCATTTGACGCGCGCAAATTTTCAAAATTAAATCGAACGAATTGATTGTTGAATCGAACGAAATGCGCTTCTACGAACATCACCTGGAATCACGACGGAGGAATAACAACGGTTCCTATGACTGGCCGATCCACCCCGGATTCGGGGAAAATTCAAACACAGCTTGCGTTTCGCGGAAGTGATATTTGTAACAACATTTCTAAAACTATATTTCGTCGTATGATTCTACGCTCACGTCATCTCGATCGGCGATAATAGAGAAATTTCTTCGATATTACGTCACATTGTGCGGATATCGTTCGTAAAGGTATTTTTTAACGAGTAGAAAGGGAGGTTGACCGATATCGCGAATTCATTGAATTTTCCTTCGCATTATTATTTCCTTCTTATTATTACACGTTTCATTTCAACGAACGAGGGCAAAAATAAATTTAATCCGGACGTTTTCGTTTCGATTCAAACTTTTTATTTCGAAGAAAGAAAAAAAAAAAAAAATTTGGAGCATTTTGTACCCTTTCATCGTGCACCTCGTACTCTCCGCTTGAGGAGTGGGCAATTTTTTTATACAGAGATCCGAAACGATCTTATCGACCCCGATATTCTTGATCGTCAATGTGCCTCGTGATTCTTTGCGGGAGATAACAGATAATAAGCAGAACAGCGCGAATCACAAAAATATTGATAAATTAAATTGGATCGATCCAAGTAGAAATTTATCGTTCAAGTAACTCGTGTGATTATCTATTTTACTTTAAAAATTTATGTAAATTAAACGTGTATATTCGCGTGTGTATTTATTTTTTAATTAACGAAAAAAAGAGAAATCGAAGCGATAACAATTCGATAAAGGGAAACTCTTTCGTTTCGTTCTGAATGATCCATCGATGCGAAAACGATGTGTAATTACAACACCTGTCCACCCGATCTAAGAATGTACGTATGATGCATCGTACGAGTAATCGTGCACTGATAAATAAAGGCCTTGTGCCTCGAGGAGTGCGGCCAGTACGCCGGCGGACATCGATGGGTGAGCCGCGTGAATTTCGATACATTATTATGTGTATATATTACGTGATTCGCTAAATTTCAATTGGATATTTCATTTCAATTCGATCGAATTTTCGCGAGCGAATGTACAATTTGTTCGAATGCTTCGAATCTTTCTCGTTGGAATTTCTCGTCTTCTTTTTTTTTTTTTTTTTCCTTCCCCCCTCTCACGGATCAATCAAAGGCGCGATGATAATTGTAACAGTGAGATAAAAATTACGTAATTTCAATACGAACGCGTTGTTTCCATGCTTGTGATCGAGTTTCTCAAGTGGATGTGAACAGGTATTATATCACACTTTTTTTCATCCTTTCTTAATCTTACTATCGAAGATACGATCCTCTTCTCGTTTCCTTTTGAAATCGATCGTTTCACTTTTATTACACTCGAATGTTTCTCATCATTCGTTTTATTTTTTTCCTCTTTTTTTTTTTAATTCCTCGGGTTTTCACTTCGCGTTTGATGACTAATCTTTCGGTGATCCCCCCCGAAGAGGATAAACTCTTCTTTAAAGTTACCTTACGCGATTATGATTGATTAAGTAACGACATTGATTAAGCAAGGCTGTTTGTTGTTCCAGGCCTCGTTCGAATTACGAAGATTTTTCTTCAGTTAAATATACCGAAATGATCTTGCTCTTCGACAGAAAGTATTCGATCTGAAAAGTGAGAAAATAATCAGAGAAGGGGGGAGGGTTGTGTAAACTCGCTCGATGCGCGTGTAATGTCTTGGAATAATAATAATAATTCTGTTACCTGAAATCTCTTCTTCAGAACCGTTGTTCTGATATAATTTCAAGCGAGGAAAGCGACGATCATCCTGCGAAAGAAAGCGCAGTCAGAGAATACCAGGAGACACGAGAGTTGGGAGAAGTATATAAAATGTCGTTAACAACGTCCAATTTTCGAATTTTCTACTTCTCTCTGGGTGAAGTTTCTTCGAGTTTCGGGCAACAAGGGTATTTTCATTGAACGAAAGGAAGGAAAGGAACTGTTGACTTTTGAAATTTGGAAAATTTTGGAAAAGGAGAAACAGAAGTTTTACAGAAGTGTTTAAGGAACGGTGTTGTTCGACAGTGTTGAAAATCCGAGAGAAAGAGAAATGTCTGGAGGCGTGAAAATATTTTTAGCGTTATTGCAGATTTTTTTTTGCGGGTTGACGATTTGCACAGCTCGCATGGAAGATGAACCACCGATCATTCATTCGATCCCTTTCGTAAGTATTATTACTTTGTTCGTCCAAAGATAATCTTTAAATACGATAAGATCAATTTTTAAATCAATCGAAGTTATAAAAAGATTGATATGTATAAAATGCTTGACAATGAAAAGTATCTTGGATAGAAATTGTAACGAAGTAGTTTTTTTTTTTATAATATAATCGAAACACGAGAAATGGATTCTTCGTTCGTTGAAATTTGTTTCGAGGAAAATTCAAAGGAAAGATCAACTTTGAAAATCTTGTTCATGTAAATGAATATTTATGCAATTCACGTGATTGAAATAAAGCTCTCTGAAAAATGGAAAAATGGATAAACACTTTTAAATCGTATTGCGCGATAATTTACATAATAAGATTAAATAATTCATTCTATTCAAATATCGTTTATTGTTTCAACTGTTTTAAAGTGTCACTGTTCACGCTGTATTATTTTATCAATGAAATTCTCGAGGTTGGATACCGAATTCCTTTGATAAGATAAATTTTTAAGATCGATATTGTAAAAACGACCTTCGATTTTGTTATCCTTACAGGAAAACAAGACGATAAAACTCGACGAGTACGAAAATTTACCTGTGGTTGGAAAATGTTGCCCCATAGGAGAAGCTTTTGTGATAAACGTAACTGGCAAAACGGTTTGCGCAGTCATGAATCCCTTCATTAGCGAAAATTTCTCTCCTATTTTCTATAATTTTAATGATTCTGGTTATCAAGTCCCCGGCGAGGTTCGAAGTCCATTTGTCGCCATTATTGGAAATCCCTGTAAATACAAAAAGTGAGTACAAAATATTCAAATTACGTACACACTTCACACAGCTTGAATTAATATTAATTAATTTTACTTTTAACTTTTGCTTGAATATATCGTGCGTTCTTTCTCAAGTGTGAAAAGAAAAAGAAAAAATTTAGAGTTTCATCTCTAAATCTCGTATCGTAATATCGTGCATTCTTTGTATTCAAGTTTTATAACATATTCAAGGATGAGTAGCATTCTTTTTTCAATTCAAATGCAAATAATGATTGCAATTAATTTTAAATATTATCTTAATCTATCCGCTGTGTTTCTGAGAATGCTAAAACTATCGGGCATACATCGAGGATATAGTTTGAAGAAAAAAAAATAAAATAAAATTTTGCATTATTCTCCAGATACATTTTAAATTCGAACGAAGACGCGCAAGATTTTCATGTATTATTAACGAATGGCTCGATATTTGCACCCGAACACGAGCCAAAAATATTGCAACCCGGAATCGATTATTGCATAGAAATTATTCCAGAGATGGGAATCAACACTTTCGTGTGTTTTCCTGAAGGTGAGCCCTGAAATATACACGTTGTTGATAAAATCGATCCACGTGTTGATTCGCGTATTAACATTAACGAAATTGTTTCAGATCGCGTAATAATAACCGCAGACTCTCGAATTACGATCTACGCTTGCGGCCTTTTAATATCCGTACCATTCTTAATTCTTACGATCGCTGCGTATTCTTTTACACCAGAGTTGAGAGACGTATATGGGAAAGCAGTGTGTCGTTATTGCGGATGTTTGGCTCTTGCTTTCGTCATGTTGGTAATCATACAATTATGGAATATAGAATTGTCGAACCAAACTTGTACAAATATAGGTAAGATGATATATTTGATAATACGTATCTAATAAAACATGTAGTCATTAAATGTAGATAAAGTTACTTGCACGAAAAAAAATTCTCGAGTATCCTTATCTAAGAAATTATCAGATATTGCTATACGATAGAATTGTATCTAGAACTTAACTGTTTCTTATTATTTAAATGATATAAAATATAAAATTCTAAATAGCGAAAAGAAACAATGAACACGCATTATATAAATTCTAGTTACATAAGTCATAATATATTCTTTAACGAGTTCAAATGAATGAAATTGTATTCTATTGTTACCGTACACAATGTAATTAGCGACAGTGGAATATTATGGAATAGAATGATATAGCAAAAACCAATGTTGTTTTATAGAATTTAAGATCAACAGTGCGATTGAATTTTCCAGCATTCATTATCCAATTCTCCTTCGTCGCGTGCTTTTTCTGGCTAAATGCGATGTGCATTGAAATGTGGTTATTAGTGCGTTTCTACGTCGGTAAATGTAGGAACAGAGAAAACTGCAAAAGGACAGAATCAAGAACGTTATTCTTTTGGTACTCTTTATGGTGTTGGGGTCCCTCGGTGATACTTATCCTTGTCTCAATGATCATGGATCTTAATCCGATGATACCTGCGACTTACGTGAAGAATTCCGGCAAGGAAAGTTGTTCGTTCAAAGGTAAGTTAAGTATTTGAATTTCATTTCAGATTAACATGAAACATTTTGAGTGAGTAGTATATAATCTATTGAATGATATAATAAGGACACTATGTCGTTCTTGTTTTTATTCCTACGACATTTTCAAGAAATTCTTTTGATTTCAATTTAACCTCTATCGATAAAAAAAAATTTCACGGAATATTAATCATATTAATGTTGAAATACGTATAAATGATAATATAAAAGAATAAAAAATAAATAGAATAGATAATATACAGAAAAATATTAAAACAAACATACCATTGTTAAATCAATAAAATTTTTAAAATTATTATTCTTATTATTCTAATTTGCAGCTGAAGACGAAGCGATACCATATTTTTATATACCAATTGGATTGCTTCTTCTCGGGAATGTGATTCTTTTTATTTTAACTTTCATCAAATTGACTAAATATCAAAGGGAACTTGACTTGAGACGTCTCAGAAGAAACGAACCAGTGGATCAAAACGATCGAAGGACCCTTCGATATTTAATGAGAACCGCATTTGTCTGCATGCTAATTTTTTTCTTGATGAGCCTCAATTGGACGATGGAATTAATATCCTGGTACATCGATGGAGATTCCTTCGATTGGTCCTCTTTCGACCTCGTAAACGCTCTTCAAGGTGTTCTTATTTTTGGTTTGTTCGTGCTACGAAGGCCACCAAGAGACTTTATATGGAATAGAATACAAAAATTTCGAGGTATTAATGAAATACCAGAACGAGAAATTGGAAGCATGGAATTGGGTCTGCTTCAGATGATGAATGGTGATCCTGTGCCTAGATAGACATGATTATTGCTTAAAAGTAATTTATTTTTCGATCCTTTCTCAAACTTGTTGAAACATCATGAAAGGATAACAAATCAACTGCCGAAAATATTTGAAAGTTCCTTGAAGAGATGTACAATTTTAGTATAACTTATTTATAAAGTATTGAATTAGTCAAATATGCAAAAATTGACGATTTTTACGTATTTATTTTAAACAAGACTTATCGAATTATTATTTATTAATTAATGAGTTAGAAGAAATTAGTTAACTCACATCACATGAACAATATATTTCATTAACATTATGCATAACAATTTATTTTGTATATCATCTTGATTTCAAATAAGCAATAATTTATTTAAAAGAACTTGATTATGTGTTATGAATAAAGAATAATTTTATATTAATGAAAACTAGAAGTTATAGATTGTGTGTAAGTATATATATATATATATGTATTTACATTTAATTGTTAGATTTTATTATTCAAAAACAAATATGATAAAAATTAGTAAAAAAGAGATTTGATAAAATATATAATTTATTTTTAAGGTGAATTTATATTATTTAATAAATTTATTCATATTTTTGGAGAATTATAGCCTGCTTCTTAAAAACTTGTTTTGATTGATATAAAAACATCTGCAAATTATTTTATGATATATGCAAATTGTATGTATATTGATTATGTAATAATAAGAAATCAGATAAGTTTATATATATATATATATATATATATATATATATATATGTGTGTGTGAAACATCATGAAAGGATAACAAATCAACTGCCGAAAATATTTGAAAGTTCCTTGAAGAGATGTACAATTTTAGTATAACTTATTTATAAAGTATTGAATTAGTCAAATATGCAAAAATTGACGATTTTTACGTATTTATTTTAAACAAGACTTATCGAATTATTATTTATTAATTAATGAGTTAGAAGAAATTAGTTAACTCACATCACATGAACAATATATTTCATTAACATTATGCATAACAATTTATTTTGTATATCATCTTGATTTCAAATAAGCAATAATTTATTTAAAAGAACTTGATTATGTGTTATGAATAAAGAATAATTTTATATTAATGAAAACTAGAAGTTATAGATTGTGTGTAAGTATATATATATATATATATATATGTATTTACATTTAATTGTTAGATTTTATTATTCAAAAACAAATATGATAAAAATTAGTAAAAAAGAGATTTGATAAAATATATAATTTATTTTTAAGGTGAATTTATATTATTTAATAAATTTATTCATATTTTTGGAGAATTATAGCCTGCTTCTTAAAAACTTGTTTTGATTGATATAAAAACATCTGCAAATTATTTTATGATATATGCAAATTGTATGTATATTGATTATGTAATAATAAGAAATCAGATAAGTTTATATATATATATATATATATATATATATATATATATGTGTGTGTGGAATATGCATATACATTTTTTGAATCTGACATTAAAAAATTTTTAATAATTTTTAGATATAAAATAACATGCAATGTTATTGTTAATTAAAGATATTCAGTATCAATTTCATTTATTTATGTATCATTTTTTTAATAAATATTGTTTTTTTTAAATTTAATCAATATTTATGTTTGTAGTTAAAAAAGAAATATATTATTTATTTTGTGTATTATATTAATATTAAATATTCTTGTATTAATTATTATCGTTTTAAGTATCCTCGTTTTTGTATTAGGAATAGATATCATCTCAATATATTTATTTCAACATATAAAATCATAAATGATATTTAAGAAATTTTTTGACCAATGAAAAATATTATTTATTTGTATCTTTTGATACTACAGTATACATTTGTTTGCTTTATTTCTGTTTCTAAAGTATTATATAAAAATAAAATAGTATGGATTTGTATAACCAAATCCATTGCCACAATTATTACAATATTTTACCGATCAAAACGAAAAATTTCTTAACAAAATAATAAATATTGATTATTATCTACGAGTGCTTTTTCGAACATTAAGTACGCAAAATAACATTGGCATACTCGTTATAAGCTCTGTAATGTAAAACAATTAAGCATTAATGCTTTTGGGTAATAATTAATAACCCAAACCAGGTACCTAAAGTAATTTTTGAACATTAATGTTGTACAAGTTACATTGTATCATTTAGAGAGTATTCTTCACATTTATGCGTATATTTGCTATTGCATTATCCAGTAAATACTATTTCAACAAAATTTTATACATCATTTTATGTATAAAAATATTAAATTATGTGATAAAATAAGGACTAATTTTTAAAAATTATTACAAAAATATACTTTTTTTTATTAATTAATTATTTACTTTAAAGTTGTTTAAAAGAAATTATTATTGAAAATTATTTACCGAATAATACATTTGTGTACTTGGTAATTTTTTTTCATTTTAAATATTTGATCATTCAAATTTCAAGAAAATTTACATTTATACATAATTACACATATACATAATTATAACATATCAAGTGTGCAAAAGTTTCTAATGTAAGCTCTTTCTAATTCTATAATAATGCAAAATGGTGATTAACAAAAATTATCATTTTAATATAAATAAAATAAATTTGTATAAAAAATTTAATAAAACTTGCTTTTTGTAACTTTTTCAGTCACTATGCATTTTATGTAGCATACAATAATTTAATTATTATAATTACAAGATAATTAATATAAGAGAATAAAAAATTAATATATAATATAATATTAAATTTGTTTGAAAAATAATAGTAAACACATTAAAGATTTACTATAACAAAATCGATATATAATTTCAAATATCAGATATCTTGAAAAGGGAGATACCTTCAATGTGCATATTTCATATATATCAATGTTCATAAGATCAAATAACATACTAAAAGATAATATTCTTGAAGATATTCAATTTTTTCTCTACAATTATCTCTATTTATTATCATAAAACAATAAAGATATTTTATAAACCAACTTAAATCGTTAATATTCTTTAAAGTTCATTTAATGTATATGTTGTATAAGCATAAATGTAAAGTAATATTCTAATCTTTTAGAAATAACTATTATAAGAAGATAACAAAATCATAAAGCTCAAAAAACTACATTTGAATAAAATAATATTCAATCATTCGGTGAAACTATTCATATGAATTTGATAATTTTTGAACATACATAAAGTGTCACAATTATATGTTAAGTAATTATCACTGGTTATTATTGGTGATTATGACGCATAAACTATTGATTGAAAAACTAATTAAAATTTATCAGATAGGTCTGTGATGGCCTGGAAAAGGTGGACTAACGCCTAAAATTCCCAAAAGATTTCCTCGCTGAGCAACATAAACCAAACGATACATTCCAGGTGCTCGGAGAGCGGTATCATTAAAATAAATTCGTTCAATAATCGAATGAGGTTCAAAAGGAATTGGCGATGATTTACCTAATATAAATTTAATTTTTATCATAAATTCGATGAAATAATTGTGATGTATTTAATGTGAAAATATAAATAAAATAAAATAATTGATATATTTAAAGAATTATAATAAAATTATAATATCTTACCTCGACCCACATATTCATAAACAATATATTCATCTAAACTGGAAAATTCATTGGGAAATAAACCTACCCAGTCACCACTAGCAGGTCTGGCATCTCCCAATAATTTATATGACACTGAATTTTCTTCATCTATAAACCAAGATGATACTGGTTGAAATTCTACACCATAATCTTCTATACATGGTCTGATCTGTAAATATAATGTAAATCTTTGTACTAATAATTTTTATCATAATTAATTTTAATTAAATTTCATCAAATTTCATTTTTTTCTAATTATTATTATTAATGATTCTTATGATCTATAAAATCTTACAATAATGTCAAATTCACCAGTAACAGGTTTATGATCCGATTGTATATAATTGGAATGACTTTTATAATTATGCTGAATAACATTTAATTTAATATCATCGTAAATATTTGCATTTACTCTGTACAAAATTCTATCAGTCCATGATGGTCGACGTCTAACATGAAAAAAGAAAAATTTTTAGTTTAAAAAAAAAAGAAAAATGAAAATTTCGAAATATAATAATAAATATTACTTAAGATCAAATTCTTGAGATGCAAATTCATATTTATAAGTAGGCGGGAATGTAATAGCACTTTCATTCAATTCAGCAAAAGCTTCTCCCTTTTCCATTACCATTTTCAATTGATCTTTAGTTAACAAGGTTGTTAATTGGTTTTTTTTAACCAATAAGTCAATCTCTGTGGCAGTTAAATCTTCTCCATGTAATCGAAAATTTAAATCTCCAATCCAAAATACATAACTATATATAGAAATAATAATATAATAATATAATTGATGAACAATATTATTGCAAATATAATATTTATAAAAAATATTATACTATTTATATTTATAGAAAATTAATTTATTTATCTCAAATTAAATTACCAATTCAAAAAATAATTACTTACTCATGGAATAATATTCTTGAAGTATCTGGATTGCTAAAGCTATGATTTGTAAGTATTGTATTATAATCCATAATTCTATCTGCCAATAAATGATCATGTGGTGTCAAGTGTGTATTAACTACACACATGTTAATTCCATATATATTTAGTCTTATACTCACTGCACCTTTGTTCCCTATAAATAACATATTTTTTTATTAAAAAAATTAAAAAACAATTTCATCATAATGCAATCATATTTAAAATAATTATGCAAAATTTTGTCTTACCCACATGCCTCCACATCCCGTTCGTGTATATTGAGTTTCTATCGATCTTAAATGTGTGATATGTTTTCTCAAGCAAAAAATATTTAGAACAAGACCCTGTAAACGCTGTGTACGTATTTTTACATAATCATACTTCTTTAACACTTCTCTACAAAAATTTTAAATAATAAAATTCTTTTCTGACGAGAAAAGAACAAATTAACATAACAATTAATAATTTTCAGAAATTAATTATTAATTACTACATGTACAATTAGGCTTATTGTATTAATATTTTTCATTTTTATATTTATACCTAAAAGATTTAGTCCATGGATCTTCAAAGAATATATCCATTACCATATTTTGTGGTTGAGCTTTAACTTCTTGTAATCTAATATGTATAATAAATTTATAACTTTAATTATGTATATATTTTATATATGATACATATATTTATATAAAAAAAATTATATATACCCAATAAAATATAAATCAGCTAATGTTCTTGAATTGTTAATATTATTGAGATCAAGGAGTTTATTCAAACTTTGTTCTGGATATTTTGTTGCCACATTCCATGTAACAAAATATATTCTAAATACATAATAAATTTAATTAATTTATTATTAAAATTATTTATAATAAAATATAAACAATCAATAAATTGATCAAATATAATAACAAGCGAATATCTTTAATTTGATATTATTAATTTTTAATTCATCATTTAAACATGAAATATAAGTAAGATAAAAAGTTACAGTGTAATATAATATGTATGTTTAATCAGAAAAAAAAAAAATATTGAATAAAAAATATATAGATAAAAAAGTTTTACAAAAATTTTACTTACCTAAGATATTTCAATTTGTCAGCCATTTTTAAATATTATGTTTTAAGTTGTAACAAAATTTTACTTTAATTTTATTAACATTAAAAATCAGGTACACTATAGTGACTATGCAATGTTTTCCAACATGTTTTATAGGTTAAGAAATGGCATAATAAATGTCAATAATCGATTAAATAATTTCTTCGTTTTAAATTTTCATTAAAATATTATTAACAAGTATTGCAACAAAGAAATTACAAAAATCACATTACTTTTATATTAGGATACATCGAAATAATATTTGTACAAAGAATCATACCGTTGACATCTGTAAAGAAAGTATCTTCTTTAGACTAGGAACATGACGTCAAAAAAGCAACCTGTCGTTTACATACTCACTATATGCATATATACGCATAATTACTTAAAGTATATTGCAATTATAATAGAGAAAATACAGCAATTATATATATAAGTGTATGTTTGGTTGCGAGAAAAGATTAAATAAATTATTATATTAACTTTAGTTCTTTGAATTGCTTTTTTATTTTAATTAATAGAATTTAATTAGTCCCGTTTTTTTACTTTAATTAATTGATTTAAAGAGTTCTACTTACTGTGAATATTATCATCTATAAATAGTAGCACTTGAAAGTAAAATTGAATAATATTTTTTTAAATTTTACTTATTATTAAATTTATTAAAAAAATAATATGAGAATAAAAATATTATAAATGTAAATTAAAATTATTTTCAATATATAAGCCAATGTGTCAATTCATTCGATAAATCAAAAATATTGAATAATTTAAATAAATTAAACGAAAATAGATGAATACTGAAATTCTTTTTGAAGAGTTTAATTTCGAATGATTATTAAAAAAAACGATAAATAAAATAAATCTTTAATTCCAAAATTTATCGAAATTAAAAACGATACTAACACTCTGGTGTGTATTCTAGAACTAATTGTTTTATAACAAGAAGAATTATTGCTAGAGTGGCAATTAAATGAAAATGAGTCATTAATAGATAAAAATAACACAAAGAAAAGAAAAATCTATCTGTTTTTAATCCATTGTGTAAACACTTTTCTTTGTTATCATTCAACTTTACAGTATATGGTATATACTGTATAGTATATTTAATTTAAACGTAATATGGAATAAAAAAAAATTAAGACATAAAAAAAACTTAATCGTATTTTTATTTTAATTTATCCGATTACTATAATTTGATTTGATAATCGAACGTTATTTTTATAATAAAATAATAAATCTGGAACGATACTCGAACATGTTGTTATTTACAATAACAAGATAAGCGAACAGAAAATAAAATTCATTGTTTCATTGTTATCTTTTAAAAATTTAAAAATATAAAAAGAAGCAATTCTTTCGTCAAATTCACGGATTTTTATTTGAAAGCATTTATCAATACATCATCCCGGGATGAGCTGCTCGTTGAAAAAATACATTGGGATTTGCTGATAGAGTAGTATACAAATTTCCCGCGTCTTCTGGTCTTAAGTACATGCCTGGTGGTGGTAAGACGAACGTTTCCATCGGACTGTGAACATCTGAAAAATATTTATTCTCGATTAATCTATTATTTAAAATTACTAATAATCGAATATATATATATATGTAGAAATTTTAAAACTTTTAAAATACGCTTGAGGAACATGACTAAATTCGTTATCTGTATTTATGGTCTACCGAAACTTGTTATTGGTTTCCGGTAAGGATAAAAATGTCGCGTGTCCGCTTATTCTTCCGGTCGTGTTAAGCAGCGAAGCGTAATTTTTATAACAAATTTATTTGAAAAATATTTCTATTTCATATACGAGTATATGAATATGATATTATTTTATTTTTGTTTTCATGTATTAAATGAACTGAAAATTTTTAGAGATATTATAGTTTTAAGAAATTACGTGTAAAGTGCGGATATTTAACAGTGTTGATACAGAATCTCCATTTAAGAGGTACAATTGTTCTGGAAACGTAACCGCATTTGAAAATGGGTCATACCTGTCACATTGCTTGCAAACTTATCATTATTTGAAAGTTTCTCGTCACGGTCGACTAATTTCATTATTTTTGAAATTGTATCGTCATGAAGAAAACGAAATGAAAGTGATCAATATCCCTTATCGGAAATTAACATAACGTAGAAGAATAGATGAGAAAATAGGAAATAAAATTGTTAATCTTAAAAATAAAATAAAAATTATCATCGATTTATTTGATTGATATTCCATTCCGAAGATAAATAGAAATTCGTTGTTTGATTAACTTTCTGGAAAATATATATATTATATGTACGTGTACAATGATCGAACAAAAGAATGTTTCTCAATTGAAAAAAAGATAAAAATTTCAATTGAATTTTTGAATTCATTAAAATTTGATTTATAAGTTTAATCGGAAAATCATAAAACGATATTGAGTGGATATTACGATAGCAAATATATTACAATTACGGTATCGTAAATAAGAGGATAGTTTATGCTTTGCAGGCTAGTGACCTCTGCCTCGCAATATGTAGTAATCCACGCCCTACTCGTAATAATAGACGTTACGGTAAACAGATGCATCACGAATCTAACATACTTGAAACGTTTCCTTCTTAATTTTTAAGGACAAAACTTATCAATGATATTATATTCAAGAATTAAAATTTTCTTTTCTCCGATATAATCATCTTTGGATAATATCCGACGGATATTATGCATGTACGAAAAAATTTTTTGCTCAAACTTTTACTCATCGGGGAGGGAAGAGAATTTTTCTCGTTCTTTCTCGCTCGTGGAAAAAAGTTTGATCAGTCACCAACAACAGGTCACCGATTAACTAGCGTCGTCTGATCTAACGGGATTTGTTTCCCCTTCCAGTTTAATTCTTGGAGAAGCGCTTGACCTCCGCCTCGAAACTTTCTCCCTCTCCACCTTTCCAGTAAGAGATTTTTCCTCCCTTTCGTTCGTTCCTCGAGGTGAAGGTCGCTAGAGGCGACGTCGTAACGGAAGAAAAGTTTGGAAGGGGAATTCACTCGAGAGGAGAAAAAAAACGAATTCAGATATTTGAACAGAATTACTGCAATACCTACAGTGATATCTTTCTGCTTCTTTCGATCACGATAACAATTCATTTCGCATTGCGATGTTACACGCGGTTTCGATGAAAAATATATAAATGTATTTTCAATTATTTTTATCATAGATAGATGTGAACTTTTTCTCCGTTATTTTAATCGCCTCGTCGATATTTTCCAACTCTAATCAATTCTCAGGGACTTACCGTCCGAGTATATTGGGCTTCCACCATGCCTGCAAGCAGTACATCCAGGTATAGCGGACGAGACTAATGCCACGCGATCTGAAGATAAAAAAAAATGCATCGATCATACACGAATTTTAATTTCAAAATTTATTACTCATTTTTCGTTAAATTCAAAAAATTGATAATCGATATTATCTAATTGATATCGTTATTATCAGATGTGATCGTAAACAACGTGCATCATAAATTAGACGCATTTTTACTTTTTCCTTTTCGTAACAACTTTTATACTAATTTAAACTTTAATTAATCATTCCCTTTCTTCTCGCAACTTACATTTACACCGAGTTTACACGGATAAGAGCACGACGAGAGTCGTCGCTAGTGTTGACACCGTGTGAAACGGATCGAAACGGAACGGTGGAAACTGGGAGGTGCGTGCGTGAAAATACAGGTGAAATTTACGCTGTTCGAAAAAGAAAAAAAAGAAAAAAAAAAAAAGCCACGGTGAAATCGCTCTCGACTCAATTTCTGGAAAGTATATTATTTTCATTCGAAAAAAATATCAGACACTTTGAAAAGAAAAAAAGTTAACATCAGTATTCAAGCATCAGAATCGATCGCTTAGGCGTTCAACAAGCTGGTCAACTCGATTTAATCGTGGTGAAAAAGGCGGACAAGTAATTGGCATATTGTAAACGTACCGCCGCTATGGTAATGCATCTTTCTCTTCAAAGAGGCTTCTGCCGGTTTGAAGTGGAAGAAGGAGGGCGAGTAACCGCTGCCAGGAAGCGAGCTGAGCGCGTCGTCCCGGTCGCGGATCACCGTCGCGGACGCCTCTCGGCCGAGGGCGGCCAACTGTCGACCCTTGGGCAGGAACATGGTCAGGAAGACGAGAAGGGAGGTGGCCAGTAGGCCGTAGGCGAGCCAAGCCTCCCTGTCGCTCTCCGTCGAGGCTGCCACCGAGCCGATCGCGCTCGACACCCAAATCGGAAGCGACAGACCGACGGCGAGGCCGATGAACGCCGCCTCCCGGTTGTTGTCGCGGACCCCGCGCGCCCGAACCGCCAAACAAGCAACCGCGACCAGCAACGCGCCCGGATACCTGGGGAAAAGAAACCTTTTTCAACTTCCTTCCCATCTCGAAATTTATTCCTTTTCAAGAAAGAAGAGAGATGGGAGAAAGGAGAGAAAGAATTTTACAAGTTTTATTATACCCGAGGGAAGCGACTATCTGCCCAACCGGGGTCTTGCAACAGGACATTGTTGAGTTTTGCCCTGCGCTCTGTGGCACTTGGACCACCACGGGCGGCTCCCCGTAAAACCATTGGCCGACGATAGCCACCTGCACGAGTACTGCGAATCCCAATACCAGTGCCTGTAACGAGCAGAGATATATGTATATAATCTTATTATATAAGCTTCCTCTCGAAGAAAAAGTATGGTTTTTCGATGTTTGATCGATTAACGCCGATAGAATGCCGGTAATTATTACGACGGCATCCCCAATTAACATTCTGCTTGTTGTCGCGCTATAATTCATCTGTGAACAACCAGTTCCCCAGCCAGATGGACGGCCAGGGCTTCCATTAAACGAAAACGTGATTATAAACGGGGGGGGGAGGGGGGAATTATTGGACGAGGAAAAGGGATGATTATTTATATTTTTCATTTGCTTCCAACAAGTTATTTCATAAACTGGTTTCCACTCTTATCGTCGCTTCCTTTAACGCGCGTAATCATATGTGAGCGGGCAATAAAAGAAAACCCGTTGAATCCGTTATCCGCGGCGAAGAAAATGTCGGCTGGTATATTAATGTTGCATTCGACGAACGAGGAAGGGCGTGCTTAACGAGTGCAACAACAGTTGCACCTACTGCCATTGGTAGCGGGCGTGCAAACTATTGCTTTCCATTCAGATCCCGCGCGTACAAATAGCGTGGATCGGGATCGACATCCGGATCTCGACGGGCACACGACGAAATAAGAAAAATCCTCGTTCGTGCATCCTCCTCGTGAGAGTTGTTCCACGAGTTTCTGCCGGCCACGAGTTTTCTAAAGCCCTATTCACACCGCCTCGCAACTTTCGATTCTAATTCTCGATCAGTCCCTTTTAAATAAAGAGACTTGCCTCGATGTGTGAAGCTTCGAAGCGAATACGAGTCGTCGAGGCGAATCGATCGAATCGATGGAAAGTGAACGATCGTCCAGGCCGAAGAAAATTTTCGTGTGCAACGAAAATAATATTATGTTATAATTAGAATAGAAAAAGAAAAAGTCATATTTCTCATATTTTGTTACTTCCAATTTCTGTGAAATAAGAAGAAGAGGAATACTTGTTGTTGTTTTCGACGAGAAGCATAATTGAATTCGATTTGTATTATTTTATTCGTAAATTTCTGAAAACCAAACTTGCGCACTGCCTCCGGATTTTAATTTAAATTTAAATCGATTAAACAGAGAGGAAAAAGTTTTACTCGCAATTTTATCAAGAATATTAAATTTGAACGTTACTTTGCGTAAAACGTTAATTAAATAGTATCGTAATGTGTGTCGACGTGCGATGCCGACTAATTATATTTCTCTTTAGCGATATGTTAACTCACTTGATAAGGCGCCGGTAGATAAACACCGCTATTTAACGAGAGCAGGAACACGCATTTAACCAGCAAGGCTGCGAAGACGAGAGCGGCGGGCAAACCGACTAATCGAAATGCAGCGCATGAGAGAGGGTTTTGGCTGAGCGAGGCCGCCGCCGAGAGTCCTGCCAGTAGGAAGAGGCCTAAAAGTAGAGCTTGTCCCAAAAATAAATGTCGTCTATTCGGCGCGGTTACTCTTGCCTGAAAAATATTATTATTATTATTATTATTGTTATTGTTGTTGTTGTTAATTTTTCTTAAATAATAACACGTAACTCGTCATTCTCTTCGAAACTCGGAGAGAATGTTATTCTAAAAAAAAAAAAAAAAAAGAAAATTCTGGAAAAGAAAATAATAACGTTGATGTTTCACCATGCTCTGATTTTTTTTTTTTCCCTTCAACAAGTTGGATCTCGATACGGCAATAAAAGAAAGTGTAATCGTGTAAATGTATGCTTCTTCCCAAGGTTGAATTCTCATTTCCCTAATTTTGTGTTTCTATGTTAATGTAAATAAACACGAAGAGATACGAGATAAAGATTGTTCGCAGAATTGATTCACGTTCGTTATATACACACAGTTTTCATTGTAATAAACGAGATTTAATTTCACTAATTGGAATGGCTAATAAAGATAAAATAAGCGTGGAAAAGAACGAAAACGATCTATATCTGTATTAATTCGTATAAACAAATCGATCGTTTGTTCAACATCGCGTACACGCTTTGTTCTCGATTAATTTTCTCTCGTAATTAAATCGTTTGCAAAGAAAACAGAAATTCGATTTTTGTTTCGATTTTTCGCGTCAAATATTATGTCATTACAAGTGTCGATATTGTGAATTAAAAAATTGAAATGAAAACTTTGCTCGACAATAATTCGACACCATCACGTTACATTAGTTTGTACACACAAGTATATCAAATTTGTTGTGGAAAGCTGCCGTTCAATGGAGTGTGTCGCTACGAGCAGACGACACGAACAGAGGAAACTTGGCAGTCGCCACTATGCAAACTAGGCCTAGGTCCCGCTCGAAATTGCGAGCGTGCCGCGGTTATTGGAGCTTGTCGAAGCGCGAACGAGAACAATTACCATAAAATCCCCGCGTTTCGTCGTCTACGTGTCGTCTACGTGAAAAGACAAGAACATTTCTCTCTCTCTCTCTCTCTTCGAGCTCTATTAATCCACTTCTCGACGATTAGAGACAAATGCACCACGTTTCGTATCATTGCACGCGAGATCGGCTCAATTAGAAGCAACTACGACAACAACAACATCTTCCTCCCCCGCTTTTCCCCACGTCGTCTCGTTCCACTTCCGGAACAATCGAGTTGTAAATCGTCCATTTTCCAACCAACGAATTAATCGCCATGACACGATTCCTAGCATTCGTGAAAATAAATATCGAACGAGTGAATCAAAGTTGGCGAGTTTTATTAAAAAAAGTACACTGAAAAAGATATATAAAGCGTGCTCCCCCCCCAGCGAGAGATCGCGATCGAGGGAGATCGGTTTGGATACGCAAGATGTAAGTCGATAAGGCAAAGGTAAACGAACCGACCTTGAGCAGTACGAAAACCTCGAAGCCAGCCATGAGGAGCATCGTGGCAGCGCTGAGGGCGGCCAGAGGAAGAGCCCAGGGTCGTTGCCTGAGCAAGGACCTCGGGTACGATCGGGTGTCGGGCTCGGCCTCCTTCTTCGGGAGCGTTTTGAGCACCGAAACGGTCCTGTTCGGGGCAGGGACGCTGATGACACTCGCCACGCTCGCCAGCCCGTTCCTGTCCATCGCTACGTCGCCGGGGACCAGGAAGAATTCCGTGGACAGCTCGTAGTCGTTCGAGGATTGGGCCGCCGTAGTTCCGGTTGGACCGAGCCAACTCGCCGTGGCCCACGACAGGATGATCGGGCTCAGTCTCATCGCGTCATCCGTGCTTCCGCGCTCTGTCTATGCACTCTTCTTCTCTCTTTTCTTTCTTCTCTCGCTCGCTCTTTCTCGTTCTACAACTTTGTCTTTTCTTTCTTTCAACGTCACCGACGGGACATGCACCGTTTCCTGCGTAAGCGCATCCTTACATCCGCCCGCCTACCTTCCCCGCGACGAATAGGACACCTGCAATCAATCGATTCCGTCCTCTTATATAATTATACCGATTCGTTTCTGGAGCGAGAGGAATTAATTTTGGATCGGGATGTGTAAGCAAAAAACGTATTCTTTTTAATATATGAAAAGGATCGATTATCTATCCACTCGAATGTTTGAAACTCTCTGGTTACAAGAGATTTACCAGAGTAAAGGTTCGTTACGTGTTTTCGCGCGGTTAAAATTCTATATTGGAATGGTCGACTGTTTTTGAAAAATTGACGAGTATTAAAAGCATGGACGAAACGAGGAGGCCTATTCTCCGCCAAGCATGACCAGTCCGCAGGCATTCACGGAGTTTAACACCATTAATTATTATGAACAGGGTCAGGCGTAAGTAGAGTGAAGCACGGGCCGAGTAAAACCAGAATAAAAAGCAAATGGAAACGAGCATGCGTGGTTTCGGCGCATGCGTGATAAAAACATCGAAATATTGGAAGTTCGCCTATGTTCGTGTCGTAGATCGTGTTTAATAAGTGAACCTTTCAAGTGTCGATCATTGTCTGCCTTCGATATCCGTTTCCACACATTCTTTTCTTTCTTCTCTTCTTCCCCGAACGATAACGATACTCTTTGTCTCGTCAATTCCCTTAATATTAACGAACACTATCGTCGAATCTGAATCTGAAGAACACGTTTTTCTTTCTTTCTTTTCTTTTTCTTTTTTTTTTTTTTTTTTTTCCTTATCCTCGAGAACGATTTTTCGCTACTACTTCGCTACTAATGGGTCAACGAACACTGTTAACGAAAGCTGTTTCCAAGATCCTCGATACTGAATGAAAATAATTTTCAGTGAGAGGGCATGGATTGATGGGATTCTCCGGCGGGACAAAGTCGGCGGAGTGGCCACGAAGCGCGCGTTGTGAGAGCCAAACTCCGACTAAGCCAACAAGCATTCTCGAGGGAGAAACTGGAAGCAGACTGGAGTTCCGTTCTGGAGGTGAAGCCTATCCGTTACGGAGGAGCCAGGGAGATGGTGATGACGATGCTGAGGTGGTAGTGGCACACAACAGGAGCGGATCCACGCGAATCTTCCCGATCAAATTTTCTTTTTCCATCGATTAATCGATCGAGAAGATTTTTCGCGTAGATATTATTTAGAAATTTTCTATTGAATTTTCGAAAATGCACGATCGATTAATAATCAATCGATCGAGAAGAGGAAAGATACTATTCGGAAGAAAAGAAAAAAGAAATTGATATCTCTCGTTCAAAATTTTTCTCCAAATTTTCCATTTTCCACGCACGATCAATTAATCGTGATCTTCTATTGAATTTTGAAGAGAGAGAGAGAGAGAAAAAAAGATATTTTTTTATCAATTATCTTACGTCGTATATATTTATAAACGCGACAGTTATTATTATTATATTTAAATAATCGGTTTGGATTAACTTGAAATTAATTTTAATAAACGATCGAGTTACCTCATGCATTATGCAAGAAACTAGACCCGAGCAGAAAACTTTACCCGACAAGTGTACGAATCAATTTCTTTTCCAAACTTTGATAAATGTAAAATCGATCGTATCTCAAGTGACGTAATTAAGTGACGGTGTCCGATTTTAAAAAGGGAACGTGTTCCTTTCTCCGCGTGTGTAAATTGTTAAAAAGAAAGAGAGAAAAAAGGGAGGGGGAGGGAGAGGGGAAAAGTGACTCATGAATTTTAATTATGCCAGCTATTATCGCGCTACAGTTCCACTTTATCGTGTCGGAGGTTGGCTTCGATCTGATCCGCCCCTGTCAAGATGAGAGAAGGATCAGTGTGGAATAAAAGAGAAATAGAGAGAGGAACGAGAGAGAGAGAGAGAAAAGGAAGGAAGGAGCTGGTCCTCCGAGGACCGGACCCGGCCACGCCATTTACATATCGTACGTGTAATAACCTCGAAAAAGTTTTCAACAATGGCAACCCCCCAAAGAATTGCAACCGCGAAGAAGAGCCTCCTAGAGGAAAGAAGGCGAAGCCTCCACTTCTAGGACGTGGAACGATCGAAGAAACGTTCAACGTTGTTTCTCTGGGCCGAATGAAAAATGAGAGATATTCTCACGGAAAATTCCACTACTGTCTTTTTCATTTAAGAAACCTGTATTTGTAGAGAAGACGAGTTATCACAACAGTTATTCCCTTTGCGAGGTTCAAATAGATCGTTGCACGACGTCCGATTCGACTCGAAAATGGAATAAAATAATTTAACTTGAGAGCCGGTGGAAATTATTTACCTTGGCCTAGAAATCGTAAAATAATTCGTGTGAAAGTGATAACGCGAGAGAGAATGTTTCTCCTTTCTGGATCTAATTATAAACGGCGAATCTCGATATATATATATATATATATATATATATATATATATATATATA